ACTCTCACTGGAGAGATCTCTGAGCTTGGCAAGGATCTCACAACCAAGGAAATCAACCTGAAGGTGTTGAGGGGACTGCCCTCAGCATGGAAGATGAAGGTAGTTGCTGTCCAAGCCAGCAAAGATGTGAAGACTTATCCCACTGATAAGCTCATTTCAGATCTCAAAGCTCATGAGTTTGAAATGATTGAAGAAAAGGAAGATGTACCAGAAGAGAGGACCACTACAGCCCTCACTGCCAGCACATCTAAGGTAAATGATTTTGACCCTTCACTACTTTTATCTGATGAATATATGGCTGCCTTTGCCAGGAGATTCAAAAAGTTTATGAAGAATCCCAAAGATGGAAGGAGTCCATCTTTCAACAGAAAGCCATACCAGAAGGTCAAATCAACAGAAAGCAGTGGAGAGCTTCTCTGTTACAACTGCAGACAACCTGGTCACTTCAAGGCTGATTGTCCCCATCCTAGAGTGTCCAAGAAGAAAGGACAGGATGGAGAAAAGAAGAAGTACGAGGACAACCCCAGAAGGAGAAAGGCATTTGTGACAGAACAGGTGGAGAAAGACCCTCTGTCAGAAACAGAATCCAGTTCTGACTCAGATTCTGATGAGGCCTTCTGTTGCCTGGATACTGAGACAGAAGACCTTTGCCTCATGGCTCATTCTGATGATGAGGAACTGTGTGCTGGAGCTATCTCTGAACAAGAATGGTTTATTGATAGTGGATGCTCCAGGCACATGACAGGTGACAAAAGTTGCCTAACAGAGTTCCAGAAATGCAAAGGACCCAGAGTTACCTTTGGAGGTAATGACAAAGAAGGTCAAACAAAAGGAAGAGGAAAGCTGATCAAGAACCAGATCACCATTGATGATATCTCATATGTCAAAGGACTGAAGTTCAACTTGCTGAGTGCTAGCCAGTTCTGTGACAAAGGCTACACTGTTGAATTCACAAAGGACTTCTGCTATGTGAAGCATGAGACAACAAAGGAAGTGGTTCTTACAGCATCAAGGAAAAAGAACATCTATGTAGTTGATTGGAACACTGCAAAAGATGGAGTTTGCCTGATAGCCAAGGGAGATTCAAAACTGAGCTGGGACTGGCACAAAAAGCTCAACCATTTGAATTTCAAAACAATCAACAAACTAGCAAGAGAACACATTGTAGAAGGGCTACCAGACATCGTGTACAAGAGAGAGACCCTCTGCAGTGCATGTCAGAAAGGCAAACAAGTGAAGAATTCCTTCAAACCCATTGCTGGAGATCTTTCTACAAGTCCTCTAAATCTGATTCACATGGATTTATTTGGACCTGTTGAGACTCCAAGCGTTGGTGGCAAGAAATACACCCTAGTCATGGTTGATGACTACTCCAGATACACATGGACTGTTTTTCTGACAAAGAAAAATGAAACTCTTCAGAAGTTGCCATCTCTGTTAAAGCAACTTCAGACTGAGAAGAACTTGAAAGTGAAGACAATCAGATCAGACAGAGGAACTGAATTTGTCAACCAAGTCATAAAGGACTTCTGTGATCAGAATGGAACTTTTCATCAACTTTCTGCCGCCAGAACTCCTCAACAGAATGGCGTAGCAGAAAGAAGGAACAGAACTCTAAAAGAAGCTGCAAGAACAATGATTGCAGAATCTGGATTGCCTATGAGATATTGGGCTGAAGCAATCAACACTGCATGCTATACTCAGAACAGAAGCATGATCAACAAGAATCACCAGAAGACCCCCTATGAACTCTGGAAGGGAAGAAAACCAAACATCAACTACTTTCATATATTTGGATGCAAATGCTACATTCTCAACAACGGAAAGGAGCATCTGAAGGTATTTCAAGAAAAGGCTGATGAAGGAGTCTTTATAGGCTATTCAAACACCAGTAAAGCCTATAGAGTACTCAACAGAAGAACCCTACATGTTGAAGAATCCATACATGTGAAGTTTGATGAAAGCACCTCTGTTGAAGAAATAACAGAGACTCTCAAGGAAGTCAGCATGGAAGACAGAACTCCAGGACCAACAGAAGAGGTGGCAGACAACCCTGCATTTCCAGCTCCTGCACCAAACCCCCTTCTGTTGAATAAAGATGAAGACTCTGAAGATGAGGAACCAGAGAGACCAAGACAGCAGCTGACAGAACCAGACCTAACATGGTTAAGAGATCATCCTCCTAACCAAGTGATTGGTCAAATCAGAAGTGGAGTTCAAACCAGATCCACATCAAGGAGAGAAGCAATGCTTGCCTGCTATATATCTCAGATGGAACCTATGACAGTTGAAGAAGCTCTTGCAGACTCAGATTGGATCAATGCTATGCAAGAAGAGCTCACTCAGTTTGAAAGGAACAAAGTGTGGGAACTTGTTCCTAGGCCGAAGCACCAGAATGTCATTGGAACCAAATGGGTATTCAAGAACAAAGCAGATGAAGACGGCAACATTGTAAGGAACAAAGCAAGGCTAGTAGCTAAAGGATATTGTCAAGAAGAAGGAATAGATTTTGATGAGACCTTTGCACCAGTTGCCAGACTTGAAGCCATCAGAATTTTTCTAGCCTATGCTGCCTACAACAACATCAAGGTCTACCAGATGGATGTCAAGAGTGCATTTCTGAATGGAGATCTTGAAGAAGAAGTTTATGTGGAACAACCACCAGGTTTTGTCATTCCTACTCAATCTTCTTGTGTCTACAAGCTTAAAAAGGCCCTCTATGGTCTTAAGCAAGCTCCCAGAGCCTGGTATGACACATTGTCCCTTTTCCTAGTGAACCATGGGTTTACTAAAGGAAAGGTTGACAAAACTCTATTTCAAATCTCTGTTGCTAATCATATTCTGTTAGTACAAATATATGTTGATGACATTATATTTGGAAGTACTAATCCAGAACTGTGCAAGAAATTTTCTCAAGTAATGCAGAGTCAATTTGAAATGAGTATGATGGGAGAACTCAGTTACTTCCTAGGACTTCAAGTCAAACAAGTTCCAGAAGAGATCTTTATCAATCAAGGGAAGTACACCAGAGATCTAATCAAGAAGTTTGGAGTGGAAGGCAAGTCATCAGTGAAGATTCCCATGAACACCTCACAAGGAATTGGTCCAGATGATGAAGGAAAGGATGTAGATGCAACAACATACAGAGGAATCATAGGATCTCTGTTGTATTTGACTGCAAGCAGACCAGACATCTCATTCTCTGTTGGAATATGTGCCAGATACCAATCAAAGCCCAAGGAAAGCCATCTAAGTGCTGCAAAGAGAATCATCAGATATATCAAAGGAAACCCCAATGCAGGCCTATGGTATCCCAAGGGAGGTAACTTTGAACTAATTGGTTATTCTGACTCAGATTTTGCAGGTTGCAGACTAGACAGAAAGAGCACCTCTGGTCACTGCCAATTGCTAGGAGGAAGGGTTGTTTCCTGGTTTAGCAAGAAGCAGAACTCCATCTCAACAAGTACAGCTGAGGCAGAGTACATTGCAGCTGGGAGTTGCTGTGCTCAGCTACTCTGGATGAAGCAACAACTGAAGGACTATGGAATTCAAGCAAAGGAGATCAAGCTGTTGTGTGACAACACCAGTGCCATTGCTATCACTCAGAATCCAGTTCTTCATTCCAGAACAAAGCATATTGAGATCAGACATCACTTCATCAGAGATCATGTGGAGAAGAAGCATATCTGCATGGAACATGTGCCAACAGAAGACCAACTTGCAGATATCCTGACAAAGCCTCTCCCTGAGGCTAGGTTCAATAAGCTGAGAGAAGAATTGGGAATGATGGATGAGATTCCAAGAGAAAGTTGAAAAGAAAGGCCCTCTGTTGCTCATTTGCTGTTGACAGAATTCCTGTAGCAGAACTCCCTCTGTTAACCCTCCTCTGTCAACCTCTTCTGTTCTCTACCCTGACAGAACACCTATACAACAGCAACCCCTTCTACAGAGGACCCTATCTTATCAAACAGAAGGTGGTGGACTTGGAAAAGAAAATTTTGTAAAACCGGGTGACCTAGTAACTTCTTAAAGGTCTTTTACCCTTTTACCCTTAAAACGGTATCCAGCCGTACAAAATTTACTGCGCCCCCGTTTATTTACTGCGCCTCTTTTTACATTTATTGGTTTCTTGGAACCGTAAATTATCTCAAACGTCCACTAACTCATATCCATAAAACCCCCTTTCGCAAACCTAAACCGTTACTGCTCTCATAACTCTCAAGCTTTTGAATCTTTATCTCTCAGAACTTTCTAACCGCAGTAAACTCCATGGCCATCTTGAGCTTCTCCGATCTTTCAAAGGAACAAAAGGCAACACTTCTCAAAAGTGTCTTGACTGGCCTAAGATGCGAACTAGACGTACTCCCCAGGATCACAGAGAAAAAGGAGAGGATGACCTCCATTGTTGACGGACTGTCACAATGCCAACTGAGCAAGGTCATCTCTCATGCTTATGAGGCATACAGCAACATGGACACAGTTGAGTTCTATCTCAACGCATCCTTCAAGGATGAAGTCATCTCCTCAGTTGTCCAAGGAGAAAAGGTGGTGGTTGATGCTGACGTCATCATCAACATCTTCCATATTCAGCAAAAGGGAGGAAGGGACTCTCTACTTGACCTAGAAGAAATTGACATCCCTCTGTCAGAATTCAAGAAAATGTTCTGCAGGAAAGGGGAAGAAGTTGAGAAGGTCAACATAAAGAAGAACCTGCTCAAGAGGGAATTTGAGCTACTTATAAACATTTTCCACAAATGTTTATGGTGCAAGTACACATCCACAGATGATGTTACCACGGCCAATTCTAAAGCCCTGTATGCAGTGCATCATGGGATAAATGTCAATTGGGGACAAATCATGGTGAAGTCCCTGATTGAAGTAATCAAGAAGAAGAATCCCAAGACTAGCCTCTACTCTGGGAAGCTAGGGCATGGACTGCTCATTTCTGAAGTACTCCTCAAACAAGGGGTAAACTTGAGGAAGGCCTCAGCCTTGGATCATACCAAGGTAATTTTCTTGACTGCCTCTCCCAATAGGGAAAAAGCCATAAAGGCAGAACTGAAGAGGCAGCTTCAACTTGAAGCTAAGAGGAAACAAGGAGAAAAGGTACAGAAACCTCTCTCTGTAGCCACTTCTGCTAAGAAGGCAGAAAAGAAGAAGAAGAAGAAGAAGACTGAAGGGGAAGCACCTCTTGCCCCCCCTAAGGCCGGACATAAGAGGAAGAGGACCTCCAAACCCAAGAAGAAGGTTGCTCAACCTCTGGTTTCAGAATCTGAAGGAGTGGCAGACACTCAGGGGGAACCAGAGATCCCCACCTCTGCTGCATCTCCTGAACAGAACAGGGTGCCAACTCCACCAGAGCACCCCAGCCCTGTGAAAGATGGGTATCTGTCCTTGCTTGACAGACAGTTTACCCGGGTCCTTGAATGGAGAAGATGGAGAATGGGACCCCTCCACAAGATAATCCAATTCTTTGATCATTGTGAGGCAGAAGAGGAAGCAATCCTGAATTGGGTTGGGACTGATGATGTCTCAAAGTGTTTTGCCCTCAACTTCCTTCACTCTGTCCTTGAGAAGAAGAAGGCCAGCTACAAGGGTAAGGCCATTCTCATTTCTTCACCCTCAGAGGAAACTGTCAAATCTCTTGAAGATGGGGAAATTGAAGCCTTTGAAGAATGGTTGTTCACCAAGATGGCGACTGACTCTGTTCAGCCCAACTTCAACCCAGGAGAGTCCTCTGTTCTCAAGACAGAAGGACAAGCAATGATGGAGCACATCAAGGAATGGAGGACTTCCTTGCTCGTGGACAACGTCATTAAGGTAAACTCTCCAACCCCTTCTGTTTCAATTCCAACAGAACCTCATATACCCTCACCTCCCACCAGCACAGAAACCCCTCCACCAGAACTCCCTCCACATAAATCTCCTGAACAGAACACCCCCACCCCTCCTCCATCACCCAAAATGAACATTGCATCTCCTTGCAGAGCAATTGTTCCCTACAGAAACCGCTCACCTTCACCTCCCCCATCTCCCCCTCACCAGAATGCCTCATCTATTCACTCCTCACCCCAACACCAGAACCCCTCACCTCAACAGATCTCCTCCTCCTCATCCTCATCAGAAGCAGATCATCAATCTCCTCCACCAGAATCACCTCCTCCACAACAACCTGCAGGAAACCTAAAACCTGTATGGTTCCTAAGAGACTCAGATCCTACAACTATCTCCCCCATCTCTGCACCCAACGGGTATTCTAGGGACTCAGTTGCTCCCAATCCCTCTCTGAGGAAGAAAAAGAAGATAGTACGCAACAGAATCCCTATCTATTCGTCTTATGAAGATTCATCTGACATGGATGGATTCATGATCAGCAAATCTCACAAAGCCACTTCCAAGAGACAGAAGACCCCTCCTCTGACTCAACTGGAACATGAACAACTTGTTCATTCTCTGTCATCTGTCCAAGAACATCACCCACTACCAAGGGGTAGAGGTCTAGAGATGCCTCAAACAGATGGACAAAAGAATGATATTCCCTTCAACAGATTTGTTGAATCTGCAGAAGAATTTGGAGGACAGATCCTCCAAGGCTTGGACAAGCTGATAGAGATAAATGATAAACACTATGGGCATCTTGCTCATGTGAATGACAATCTGAATTCAGGGATGCAGTTCATCTCTGACCGCTTTGAGAACATCACTGGGACCCTCAACAATTTCATTACCTCCTCTACTGCCAGAACAGATGTCCTGTCAACAGAAGTGGTAGGCATCCACAACACTTTGTCAATCTTTCAACAGACTCTCCTGAGTCAAGGACAGGCAATCCACCATATCTCAGAGCATCTTGAGGCTCTGAAGAAATCTGATGCCAGAACAGAGAGGCACTTGACCTCTATTGAGCAGATGTGCAGAACTCATCAAGAACAGGCTCAAGCCCTCCTATCTACTGACAGAGACCGGTATCAGAAGATGGTGCTTCTTGAAGCCAACAACAAGGACATCTTCTGTGCCATCCAGAAGCAGCAAGGACTGATTGAAGGCCTTACATCTGTCACTCAGACATTACCAGAGGCCCTGGAGCAGATAGCCTCAACCCAAGCATCAGAATTCCAGAAGATCAGTCTTATGATAGAAGACTTGCATGATGCCAAAAAGGGGGAAGAGGATCCTCAACAGACCAGGCCTAGGTCTCACAGAACTCCTATCAGAGCACCCTCCTCTGGTGAGCCTGCAGTAGATCCGGCTCCCTACTTTGAGGCTGCCTTACAAAAGAAAAGGGCAGCAGGCATACCCAGACCCCCATCTCCAGTCAAGAAGAGCACCAAGAAGAAGAAAAGTTTCAACTTTACTGAATGGAGATTGGGTGGCTCTCAAAACATTGACAGAGCCCAATTTGAGGAAATGAAAGCCAAAATGACTCCTACCCAACAACAGCACCTTTATCTAGACAAAGATGGTATTGTCAGAGTTACGTATGGAGGATCTCTTGAAGAAGCAGAAGAATGGTACAAGAAGAACATTGTCCCTGGAAAGACTGTACATGAAGGTGTCCTCAACTACTTGGACTGCAAACTCTCTCCAATATGGGCATCTTATCAAAGGTCGGGCAATCTGTTCAAAATTAGAGCTGAAATAAATGAAGAACTGCTCAGGCTTCAAAGACTAGAGGAAGAAGCTCTACAGGCAGCTAATCTGGAGAATGTGTAAGGCTTAAACTCTGTAATATCTATCTAATAAAATCACATCTCTGCCTTCTTACTTTGAAGTGCTTTTCCTCAAATTCTTGTCTTTTTGCCTTCTGTTTGTGTTTGTTTATTTCTGTTATACTCTGCTATCTGAATGTATCTTACTCTTACTATTTTCCTATGCCAAGTTGCCCACCAAGATTTTAATAGAAGTTTTTAAACTTAATATTTTTATGGTGAAGGCACTTCTCTGGAAATAGTTAAAGGGTTTTGGCATCATCAAAAAGGGGGAAATTGTAAGGAATAATTGTATTTAGATTTTGATGATGCTATATCCATTAGGACTTTAGAAGTACCCCTTTAGAAATGATGTATTAGAATTTTCCCTTGTAAAAATTCTTAGATGTATTCGACTTGACAGAAGTGCTTCAAGAGCAGAAGTGCTTCAAGAACAGAAGGGCTCCCAGAGCAGAAGTGCCTCTTAAGGCTTTGTTGGAACAGAGGACCCTTGGTTCTCTGCTCCAGAACAGAAGTCCTCAGGACCTCTGTTAGTATTGACTCTGACAGAAACCCTTCTGGGTCTCTGTTGGCTACTCCCAACAGAAGTGCTCCAGACCTCCTCTGTTATACTCTATGATAAAGACACCAGAAGGTCTGACACTTAGAAGATTTTCAAAGAACCAGGAAGTCAACTTAAAGATTCCTTCAACGGCTAGGAGTATTAAACGGAAAAGCTACAGTGCATGCATTAAATGCTCATTTAATGCACCCCATGCTACGTAGAGTAATTGCAGATGATTGGCCGGAATGTCAGGAATACTTTATCCCAAAATAGTAACCCGCCAACCTTACCGGGCTCTACTAGTCAAGTCAACTGATCGCTCATTTAATGCAGTTGTCCTTCTACTCCTCCAACGGGAAGACAACCTCAGTATAAAAGATACACTACGAAGAACAACCGAATAACTTTGCCATAATTCTGCAACCACATTGCTAACCAAGCAAGATATTCAAACTCTGAAAAGCAAAAGCCTCCTTGAGATTCAAACTTATTATCCTCTACAAGAGAAGGCAGAAGTTGGAAAAATACTCTTTCCAACTCAAGCAAAGTTCCAAGTGTTCTTCAACTCTTCAAGCTCCTCACTTACACATATTTTGTAACGAAGCTAGTTGGAGGAACCTCAGTTTCAACAGAAACTCTTCTTGCTACAAGAAGGACGTCCAAATAACTGGAGTAGTGAAGTGGTGATACTTCAAGGAGACTCAGTGAAAGGACCAGTGTTAAAGGAAGCCAGGCAGTGCATCCCAGGACACATCTAGACTAGAAGAAGACGTGGAGTGCTTCTTAAGTGCTAGGACTAAGGCTTTGTAAACGGCAGTTTTTACAACTTAGTGGAACAGTGGATTAGAGGAACGAGTTGTTCCTTGAACCACTATAAAAATCCCTGGTGTCGTTTACTTACTGCTTTTAATACTTGCACTTAGATAGAACTGCATAACTCCTTGGACTTGGTATCTGTGTTCAGCAGAACTGGTTCTACGAGTTAACAGAAGGCCTTCTGCCTTTGCTTCTCTGAGGCTAACAGAACTCCCTGCCAGAACCCCATCCGCTGCCAGTCTGTTCTTTCAACAGAACAGGCTATTCTGAAAATCTGGTACTTAGTCTAAAAAGCTAAAAACCAATACAGTCTATTCACCCCCCCTCTAGACTGTATCCAGTATAACCGGGACCAACACATGATCTGATGGATGAATGGATCAGGAATCCTCACAACATGATTGAGTTTGATCCTGCCATCCAACGCCCTTCTGAGCTCGTCAAGTCACCTTCTGAGTTCATCATTATCCTGGTTGGATTGGACGCGAGGTGAGGAAGTGCGATCTACGCGGGCTCGCCGATGTTCGTTGATCTCGTCCCTGAGATCTCCCCCATGCACACTATGACGGTGGGAGGAAACGACTGTGGATTATGCTTCATCACTTCGTTCCACCCTGGAGGAGAGCCTATCATTCACAAAGACCCCCATCCTCCAATCTGGTCCATCACCAAAGCCCTCGGGGTCTATCTGAAATTATGAGACCATTGAGACCTTGTCGGAGGTGAGTTCCTTTGTCGCTGCAAAGACACTTCCTCCTCCCGTCGAGGCACATATGGAGCCCGGCATGGGGAAGGAGGTCTTTCGTTGGTGTTGGGAATAATTCCTTGGAAGGCAGTGGTCAAGGTCTCCACAACCCTCTGGAACGTTGCCAAACTTGCCAAGGCCTACGCAAGATCCAAACTTGGGACGAGATTCCTGGTGGCCGGTGTCTGGAACTATGGTGGGCGTGTCGTAGGATGCCTGGAACTTCCAGCACCTTGCAGATGATTCCTCAAGTTGCCTTGAGTTGTCACATTGTCATTTCTCCTCCGGAAAATCGCTTCGCCGTGAGTGTGACCCTTCGTCTTCAATCACAACTTGATCCATTCAAGCACCGCCTTGATTACTGCCAACACGGTTGTGACTGTGTGATCCAACCATCGTCATAGTAAATCGTTCTCTCAATGAGAGCACCAAATGATGGAGTCTAATCCAACTACAAGAGCTAATCCATGAGAGCGGATAAAATTTAGGCAGCGTAATGCAGTATTATTATTCCGGAATTCAAATCTTTAGTAGGATGTGTACAAGAAGTATTTATAGACCTTAGGTTCTAGTATTCTAGGAGAAAACTGATACATTTAATGTATTTAATTATAATAAGTCATGTAACGCCTCGAAC